CATAATATAGTATATATATATATATATTATTATAATTATATATATATATTATATGATATAAATATATCATGTATATATTATATTATAATATGAATATAATACTTATATATTGGTTATATAAATATATACTTATATATTTATAAACCACACAACACACACACACAATATAGTATATACAATTACTATTATTATATATATATTATATATCTATAATATATATATATTATATAGTATATATATACTATATATATATATCTAATATATATATTATATAATCACACACACAACATATATATACTCTTATATAATATATATATATATATTATTATATATATACTATATACTATACATATTACATATAGTACATAATTAAATATATATATTAACATATATATAAATGTATACCCGTTAATATGATAAGTGATATTATACATTATATAATAGAATAGATATATATAAATACATATACATGATATATGCACAAACACCACACAATATTATCTAATATGTTTAAATGTAAATATATGTTATATATGTTTATATAAATGTATAACATATTACATTTGAACAAATAAAATATATATAAATACAATTATGCATAGTACACAAGCACACACACGGTGTGTTATAAGGGGTCTATAAGGAGTTAGAAAGATTTACATAACCGTTCTTAATCAAATTTTTTTAGTTAATTACCTCTGTGGATAGGTTTCACATAGCACCCTAGAATAAACCTGCAACAGTATTGTTGCTTCAATATTCATCGTATTTTAGTTTTCTTTCAAGTCCCGAAGCGCCTTATAAGACTCCCTTATCGACTACATACTAAGCCACACAGAGCTCGGCAAGTCTCGCGCCTCCCCGCTACTCGTTGTCGATTACGCGCGAGAGAAATAGTGAAGCTTAAGCTTTTAGGTCTCTGTGCTAAGTCTGGACTGGCGATTTATTTTTACGTTTTTTTGTTTTGTTTTTTTCAGGGCGGGGACATTGAAGGGCCCAATATTATTATATATAGTATATATATATACGTATATAGCGCTTGTGTGTGTTGTTGTGGTTTTGTATATGTATATATATATATATATATATATAATATATATATTATATATATATATATATATATATATATATATATTTACATTTATATATATAGATAGATAGATAGATATAGATAGATAGAGATAGACAGACAGAAAGAGAGTAAAAGAGAGTGCGAAAAAAGGGAGAGGAAAAAAGAGAGAGTGAGAGAGAGAAAGATAGAGATAGAGATAGTTTAAATTCGAATTCAAATTCCTACACTTTAATCCATTACATAAAATGAGTAGCTTATTTACATATATGAGGGATACATTATGCCTTAACATATGAACATAGTATACAAAGCTTGTGAAACAAAATAATCATAAGTGACTGAAATATCGTATTCAGCTTAATATTTGTCCCTAATGTCATTGATTTTTCAGTTGATGTTCTTTCACTCTTGTTTTAAATGTCTTTTGATGTGAAATATTCCTATTTGCTCGCGACTGACCAGATCACCAGGTCTCGGATCTGCATATTACTTGCCCCGTTTTTTTATTACTATTTTGTTATTCTTTTCTTCTATTTATTTATTATCATTATTATTATTCATCTTTTTTTGAGAATTTATTTTATTTTGTATGTACACCTGTTATATTTCCTGTTGTCTGTATAGGTAATAGCCAGTTTGAGTAATTTCCTGGTATGATTTTATGGATTAAAATACGTGTCGTAGTTGTACAACTTGTACTTTTGGCCATTTTAGTTTTTCATATGTGGTGTGATGTGGTCTTATGTACTGATATTTCCCAGCGCTACTCTTGCTCAAAGTTCTGTAGTTCCTGTGCCCTTTGTATCAGATTTGTTTGTGGAGACCCAGATGTTTAGGCAACAAATAATAATACTAAGTGCTACAGCTTGTAGAACAAATATTCTTATTTAAGTGGGTATTTTAATTTTAATGTGATTTAAGCATATCAGAGTGCCCATTACTTTTCTGTAGATGTGGCCAATGTGCGTCGCAAATGCCATGTAGCTGTCTATGTATACTCGTAGATTTGTTTTTGTTGTTGTGTCGGGTTTGATGTAGCAGCCTTGGAATTCTGACTGTATTTATGCTTATCCCCCGTGCCGTTCCGAGGCTACCTATAAATACACACTGTTTGCTGTGGATATAATTTCAGGCCATTCATGTCGAAGCATTGGTTTGCTTTTGTTAGGGTCTGTTATGCTTTTCCTATCAAGGCATTTAAATTATAGGTCATCTACGTACTGAATAAGATGAATTTTTTTAAAAATTCACGATAGATTATCAATGAACGTAAGAAAAAGATTGAGCATAGAAGGAACCCCTGTGGAACACCAAACGAAATTTCCTCCTTTCATGATCCTTTTTCATGGATCTTAACTTATTGAAGTTCTCATAAAAGAATCTTGACTGATTGAAGTTCTCTTGAC